TAACTGCCTAAAAGTGTTCCACCCATCTTCCCTATTACCTGATCTTAAAGTTGAAGATGATCTGTGACATTAGAAGAAAAGAAACTTAGAAAATGCCATATCAGATCAAAGCAGCATCTGAAAAGGATTAAATATGCAGAGTGGAGAAATATCTACCAATTACACCCAAGACCCACAAGATTAAATAGCACACTAAATTAAAGGAGCATATTTAAGAAGTACTGGGTATAAGACTTTCAAATGTTACACTTGTTAAAATGCTTGTATACATAATATCCAAGTGACCAGATAGTGTTAAGGTGAACGTTTGTAGTCAATAATGAATTTAGTTGCTAATTTATAGAGCCTATAATTTAGCTCTAATGTTTTTCAAAGGCTTCGTACTTGCATATTTAACAGGACTTTAAAAATGTTTGTGTGATATAATTTACAATTACTCAAACACTAAAACAAGTACTTCTTGTAAGTAAAAACTTGCCAGGTTACAACATGGGGCTCTCAATCAGAGCATTGAAGGCATCATAGGATTTGGCTGGCGGAGGCTTGAGTAGTAGTTTCGAAATTAAGGTTTTATTTATATTTCATTGTAATTGATCTAATGAATTGAAGTGGTTTAATTATTGATATCTGCATTATATTTTCTTGGATTTTATCATTAATGAAATTGTGGAAACTTTAATTTAATTTAATTTAATTGGTGCAGAAATATTGTACATTTATCAGTGCATAAAGTTTATATATTTATGGGACTAAATATAGGAAAGGTTATTCAGAAAACCACTTTGCTTGACATACCCCTTTATTTATTGAATAATTTATTAAAAGCATACATTTGGTGTGAATTCTTGTCTTTGGTACTTTCATTACACTATTTACCCCTCATACATATCAATCCATGGAATTTTGAAAATGTTTTTAGGAAAAGTAATAGCTAGTTGCACACCCAAATCAATAAAATGATATGTAATATAATTTTAGTTTTAACAACAGTTGAACATTAAATATATTTTTAATTATATAATGATAATTTTACTGTATATATCACAGAAGTAATTCTAAATTCTCTACCCAAATTTTTCTAGATATTACCACAAATGTTTCTACATTCATGATTCCGACTCAGATTGCATATTCTGCTGAATTCGGTTCTCCCATTGGGCAATTAAGGAACTTTTCTTCCTTGAATTCCAATGACTTAGCTGAAAAACAATATTACTGTATCAGTTTCAGCAGTATAGAAAAGCCTGTGAATTGTGGAATCACAACAAAAAGACAACATTTATGTAACCACACCAACATGTATTCGGTAATATACAGGACAGGCATGCATATAACCCATACCAAATAAAAGCTCGTACCTAGGCTGGTACCTAATTTTAAAGGTCATTACAAAGTCTTGCTTTTAAAATATTTTTACAGAGGATACGAAAGCATATTATAAATGCTAATTTCAGAATTCATAATTTATGATAATTATGGAAGACAATTATTTTTCAAGAACAAGAATTTCCAAGAATTTATAAATTAAGCCAGAACTTGGCCATAAGATTGTTAAAACAAAGGACCTGAGTTAGATGTAGGCTGTACTTTAGTATGAACACAGAAGACATTTCATCACTTATTCCATTAAGCCCCATCACATTTAATCACATGCTTTTAGACAAATTAATAAAAAAATATAATGTCCACAAAAACCATTGTTAGGTATCCTAGAAATAGTTAATTTAGACACAGATTAACAAACAAAACACATACATACCTAGAAGGCATCTATCCACTTACACAACGCATCCTATGCAGTAATTTCTGGACTGAAGATTCTATTACATTTACATAGTTACAAAATAAAAAAAAATTATATTCAAGGTACATTTGTATTATACTTATACCTTAATATAATTTTTTAAAATATATATATACACACACATCAGAAATTCTGACAACCTGCAGTAAGAGTGTACACATCCATTCAATGTATAAGAAATTTCCATTCTTTACCCAAAAAAATTGCATGTCACTCAGTTTCACATAAACCACACTGTACACAGATATGCAAGCCAAAAAGTTAAACAATGAACAGACATTTACAAATAAATACACATATTTTATCAAAAGAATATAATAACATATAAAATGACATCTCTGCTCAGCAAGTCTCCACTTTTGAATATTTTGCATGCTGTAGGTAGTACTACTGAAATGTATGCCAAATGTTACTGAATATAGTTTTTTTATCTAGAAATGGTCATATACAAATCACTTGTGTAATTAACAATACAATCCTACCAGAACTAAGTGTCATTTACAATCTAGAATAAATCTTGAAAAAAATGAGTTGTAAGCTTCCCAGCATCATAATGCAACTAATATGTTTGGTGTCAGGCATATAATCCCGACCTGAGTTCTCTGTACTGGTGCAATAATTGCAATTACTTATTTATTGCAATAATGATTGTGATATGTTTATGAGAATATCTGGGCTGCTATCCAAATTTCATATAAACGAAATATTGTCAAAAAAGGAAGGAACATTGCATAGGGTATTCAATGCAATAACCAGGTGTCGTTCAGGAAAAATGGTGATTGATGTGGTTTGGTTCTTATTCAGACAAGCAATAGATTAATTTGAATTCAGAATCGTGAGAGTTCATGTCAATGTAACACTTGTTAATTATGTATGTAGCTGTATGTCAGGGAAATATGTATGCTAAATTATGGGTCTTCTGTAGTCTTTGGCAGACATGCAAACATTTTGTAATTTTTTTTAAGAGGCCATCTCTTCTTGGCACCTGACATGACACTTGCAATACACTAAGCAGAGAGAGCTAATAACGAAATACGGAAATTCTTTTAGCTCCTCTGGTGAAAAAGTGCCAACTGAAACATGGAAATAGAATATAGTGACAGTATGAAATATACAAGTTATTCAAGATGTTCTTCTTGTATAATGATTGCTATACATGATTTATTAGTAGTTAACCCAGCCTTTCTATCTATACTCACAGTATAGTATGTACAAAACTAAGAAATCACAGTAATTTTTAATAATAAACGCACATGCATGAACATATTGAGTCATATGTTTCTATTATCCAATTAAAAAGAGAAATTTGACAATGAAACTCTTAGGAAATCAAAAGCATTTGATTTTAAAATAGTTTTGGTTGCTATTTATTCAGAATATTTTTCCATTCGCTATTGTTTTATCTTTCATTGAGAATCACGATGCGCTGAGATCTCCACATGGTCTCATTAGCCACACTTAAAGTTTTGTAATAAGTTGATGATGCATGTACATATAATAAGAACATATAAGTACATCTAATATGAACTCATTATTTTTTTTGTGTTTGTTTCAAAGTACAATTTTAATGATTTTTGTTACCTAACCCCAAGCCTATTATAAATACTTCCAGCAATCAAAACTGTGTGAAATATTAACTTCATGGTGTAATTTAAATTAAATAGAATTTTAACATTTGGAATAATTACCCCAACTGTTGGAAGAAAATTATTTTGTTTTTAGTACATCATTTCTGTTCTAGTTCATACCATCTCTTATTACAATTTGGCGATTTTAAAACATGCCTATCTTCCCTGCATTGGTAGCATACATTTCTACCTGGGCACGACAATGCTTTTGAAAACATGACACTTTTTAGTTTCAGTATGTAACATGATGCAACTTGACATGAAACAAAAAAGAACAAAAAGTCGTTTCATATACAATCAATATCAGTAGTAACTTCAATTGTTATAATAGCCCATTCAATTTAGAGATGAGATCTGATCTCTAAGTTTGGTTTTTAAAACCAGTGAACCATATTCACATTATGACAAAATCATATGCATCACACTTTTCAACCTCAATTATCCATAACAACTATCTGTAACTGTAACCAATTAAATAGAAATAATACAAAAATCATTGTATTTAGCGTCCTCTCATTCTTTCCAAGATACACGGCAATAGTGTTTCATCCTATTAATTTTGTCTGACTGAGCAAATGCCAGCTTAAATGTGAATAGGAAAGAATTAAAACGAGGGTTGAATGTTTTTCTTCATCACATTTTGGGATGATATTTAATGTAATCACCCAATCACTGCCTCCAAATTAGTATTGTTTTGTAATGGTCCCTTGGGACAAATACCACTTAAAACCAAATCTAGCTAAACACGTCCATGAAATATTTGTTCTGTAAGCTTGGCTTCAACATCTGACACAGTCATCATTTATAGATACAGGCAAATCCTGCAGCACATTATCTGATTCTGCTGACTTCACTTCTTGAAGGAATAGCATCAGCAAAGAGTAGCATGAATGATAAGTTTTTTTCTTCAGTCTACAAATTCTGGAGAAAACAGATTGTTTAACCATAACTGATTTATAAATTATTATTCGGGATTGTAGCCACAGGTTTGAAACAGACTAAGTGCTTGTATTTCTATCCAGTTATGTTAAAATGGATAGTAAGAAGTAAGAAATCAGTTTACTTGGGTCAACCAATTAGCATTCAACATAAAGGAAGAGTTCATCCTGTTTTCTCTAATGCAGCTTAATTTGAAACTTTGAGCAGACATACATCTGACTTTTGTCTCTTAACCAGCATTAATATAGTAATAATGAAGATAGTACTGGTTGTAACAATACAGTTTCTAATTACCAACTTTTAAACGAGTAAACTTGATTAGATAAAATAAAACTTTCAATCAAAATAACTGTGCCTTTGATTTGAATGAAGTCTTGTAACTCAGAATTCAGAATAAAGGCAAAGTGTAGATATCTTAAAAACCAAAATTCTTAAAGGGAAATTAATGTAAGTAGTTGCTATAATTAGATATAATTATTTTTAGACATGTTTTGTCCAGAGTATGTAATGATAATAAAAAATTAGGATGCGTCATCGATAACAAAACATCAATATTACCAAACTCATGTAAATCAACCAAAACCCATATTTTAAATTGGTTAAGTAACCTCTAATATTAAATGTTCACACAAGACAAAATTTAATTTTAACAGGGGCTGGGTTTGTTTGTTTGTTTATTTATTTATAATTAAGATTTAACAGTCAAAACAAAGTTAAAAATAATAAGAATAATTAACAATACAGAGCCTCAAAGCATAAGCACCCAGGGTCATCTCAAAAGGGTCAGTCCTCGGTTCAACGAAGAAGGGGGAGGTCCTACACACATGGACCAAGAGTTGACCACCTCTCTATATGCGAAATACGAGAATAATCATAGTACATACAAAACTATCCGGGTCATCTTGAGCAAGAGAGAGCCTGCTCGATAAAGGTAGTCCTAATACAAACAGCGTTCATTTGATCTGAACACAAACTGACAGAAGTATCACCAATTATTATTTCATTTTTCAACTTTTACAAAATTGAGATTTTGGAGAATTTTGTTCACAAAGAAAACATTGAGCACAAAACTTTGATGTTAAGAAAACATCAGCTTTAATAAATTGATGTTACATCCCAATTAGTAAGAACTATTTTGATATATTTATATACAGCAAAACCTTTCCTTTCTGTCCCTTAATTGACCATCTGGCCAATTAACAGTCATCACCTATAATTTTTTTTTTTTTTGGCAACCAATCCCCAGATCACAAAAGGTGCTCTCTGACTGACTGATATATTGACTATTGTGTATCTACTGGAGCATTAGCTAATATAATTCCACCATAGTACAAGAGTGGACCTGCAGTTATTTATTGAGTACCGAGTATTGTGTACAGTTAACTATTGAATTGTACCACTAAGCATGTCAAGGGCAAAAAGAAAATGCATTGTGATTTGTATTGAAAGTAAAGTACATAAAATAAAAGAATTGTCATCAGCACAGATTATTTTACAAGCAACTTCGGAATCAGCTTTTTCTCGTTACATTTTGTGGAGCAGCAGGACAACACTAGTTATATGGACTTTCTCCATTTGCAAAAGATTAAAATGAACATAAATAAAAACGTAAATGCAGCCAAAGTTCAGAAGAAAGCAACATCTTTGATAAGATCAATCAGTCATTATTTACGCTATGTTAGCGTGAAGGTGGATTTACTTACAGGTTCAACATCCCTTTTGTGCAAAACCTACCTTATTAATTCTTTTTATATCATTTTTGAACAACTCTCACCCCCTTGCCCTCTTTTATAACAGAAAATCAGGTTTTACTGTATACCCATGCCTAGAAATATCAAAAGAATTTGTAGTTTTTAAGATTTTCCCTTCAGTACAAGCACAGCTGTATAAAAAAGATAAGATACATTTTTCTATCATTTTATCTACAGTATTAATAAATATGGTAAAATGTTTGATCCAAAGCAAACAAATAGGGCATTTAAATAAATAAGCTTTGGTGTCTATTTATGGTTTCTGCAATACGAAAAACAAGGCAGTTTTATCATATTTTTAACATTATAATGTCAATACTGCACAAAATGAAAAACACTATTGGCAAACTAATAAAAACAATTTCTTGGAAGTTATATACGAGATATATATTTTGCATAGGTTATTCCATCATTTCCACAAAGGATGGTGAGAAATCAGCAAAGAAAGCACAAATCTAAAGTCACACTAGACATATAACAATTAACAATGAAATACTAATTGTACTACAATTCCAAGATTAGGCAGGAGACTGTTGATCTTCCTGCACTGTAAATGCACAACTAAAAGGTGGGTACACAGTACTATTACTGCAATGTTTATATAAATTATTTGAATTTTTTTTTCATGTGAATTCACACAAAATTTAGTTCATGAAACTCTTCAAAATCAATGAAAAAGAACATAAATTTTACAAACAAAATTTGAAAAATCAAAGAAAAGTTATTCACCTTTGAATCAAAGAAGATACAAGACATTACAATAACATTTCACAAATAAATATTTAAACATGTCTTCCCACAAAGAACATTACAACATAGCACATTAAGCAGAAACAAAGAACACAGTCAAAAACTAACAGAAAATTCAATTCAGAAAACACCTAGGTCTATGTGTATATGTACAATATTGTGCTGTAGATATATATTTGAAAGAAGATAATCCCAAAATAATACTAGAAGGTCATGCTTTGTATTGCATTTGAAAGAAATGTAGCATTTATATTTCAACATTTTCCAAAAAGTAAGAAAATAGTCACCTGAGTATATAATCAAAATATATACAATTCAAAAATTCAGTATTTATTTTTAAAGAAATACGATTTAAATAACACAGGACACACAGACAAACATTCGTTCTGAAAGAAATTCTATACCACCTCTGGAAGTGATGAATCTCCATTTGTATCCTTTGAATTCTCCAAGAAAGAACTGGAGTCACTATTTCCAGAAATAGAAGATCTTTTCATTTCCTCACTTTCATGATTCACATCACTTTCTTCAAAATCTCCGATTGATAGAAGGTTGGGATGAGACTGAGCAAATATTCGGGCACGTTGCAAACTGAAATACAATACACCATTAAACATAATATAACACACAAAACACAAAATGAAAAATCCTTTTGAAAAATGAACATTATGAATGTAAGGGAGGAAAACAGCAAACGTATCTACTCCTAAATATTGTCATTGCAGAAAATAGAGTCATAAAAGAAAAGGTAAGAAAGGAGGAGAAAGAAACGAGGAAACTTTCCAAGATATGAATAGTACAATACTATCAAATTTCAAGACTGTTAATATTGGTTATTCTCCTGTGTTCAGTTGTAAGAAGACATCAATTGATTAGAACATAAACGATGTCGATAATGACCACAAAGATGATATAATGATTATATGTTATTTCTGTAGTACATATCCCATTTGCGGTTCTCATATCCAACCAATCTTAACAAATGACGCAACAAAAGAAAGAATTACATGGAGTGGAGATGAATTGCATTCTCTCTCTATAAATATTAGAAATTTGTTGAAGAAAAGAAAATGGTATACATTAGGCAGCTGCAAATATAATCTACAACTCATTGCTTACTTTACAATCAGTTTCCTGACACACTGATCACACATAGCTTAAAAACTGTGCCAACTAGGGCCTAAAAACCTGGCTTCTGAGCATAAAGGTGTCAAGTTATGTTCCTTGACTAGAAAGCTACAAAAAGATATCTTTTGTAAGCTTTTATTGCATCGCTGGGATTTGGCTATTTTGGGTATCCCTATTCAACAAAGGGATGCAAGACCTGCAAAATCTGAAAATTTGCAGGTTTTTCTTTCATATTGATGTAGGAGGAAGGTGAAGGTTCCACATGAAAGAATTCTTGCATCCAAAAAAATATATGGAGGTGTTTTGAGAATAAGAATTTTGGAAAATTGTAATAATTTGATAAATTTTGCAAAAAGTAGTATTTTGAAAAAATATACTACACAAGGGTTGGACCTTCCATTTAGGGGAGACTAATGACTAGGGTTTTGGCCTAATGCAAATTTGGTGTAGCAAGTAAAATCCTAGTGCCTGACCAGCCATAGTGCTGGAAACCATTGCTATGGGGACGACCCAGGCCAAGTTTCCTTCATATTGCAAGTTGGCAGCCAGAAGGCTGTGTTTATGGCATATCCAAAATTGTGCACCTGAAGTGTGTCTGGTCCTGAAGGGGCTAAGATGAGAACCAAAGGGGATGCAAGCTTGGTTTTATCTTCTATAATTCTCACTTCCTGGGTCAGCACTAACAGGAAGGGTACACCGCATTTGACTAAGGAATCCCTAGGCAGGATTGGGGCTGTGGCTTTGGGTCATAGTGCCAAAAGTCCTGGAATCAAAATCACCTGCCTGGGTGCTCTAATTTCTACTGTAATTCACATCATAGTTCTATGGCGAGTGCAGTGAGTAGATGCGATAGGGGCTCTGAACCATTTGGGTCCAGGTGGACCCCAGTTGGGTTCTCTGCTTTGTCGCGGTAGTATCATACTAGGTGTAGGAAAGGAAATTCTTCTTGTGAGTGGTGCTCGACTCTACTCCGGTAGCAATCTGGAAAGCTGATAGCTCTGAGCTTGCATGGCGGCCCCACCTAGGCTCAAGTTGGTAGATGTTCCAGATGAGTGTTGCACTCCATCAAACTTGAATGCTGGCCTGACAAGTCATTGAGCAAACCGAAGGTAGGGAAAAAGGACTAATCAGCAGGAGCTCGCCATTGAGAGTGTAAAATCCCTACTAGTACTTAATATTATTGGTGGGGCTCGCTGTCCACGGGCCCAATGCCAATAAAGGAGCTGCAAACATGTACACTGACTATATTAAGTAATCAAAAGAGTTATTTACTACAGCAAGAAAAAACAAACAAAAAGCAACATTTTTATGGTATCAGGGACAGGTCTAACAGGGTTTTCAGTCAAAAACATGGCACTTCATTCCCGAAACATTTTCATAATTTTCTTCAAAGTAGATAGTAAAAATACAAGTATCTAAGTATCACGTAAAAGTTGCATCCACAAACATTTTCCAATTGGCTCTGTGGATAACAGAATTGCTTTGCAAGATACCTAATAAACAGAGTTCTACAGTAAAGACATGCATGTTATAATGAAATCTTTTACCCCCTATGTCACATACAGTTTTTACTGTTTTTTTGTCTGAATAAATCTAAATCTAAAATACATACCGAAGTTCCTCTTCTCGTTTTTGCATTTCTTGAAGTTCTGCTTGAATTCTCTCCTCTGCTGACATATATCCACGACGTGAATTCTTTCGGGGTGTTTCATCTACATCCTCCTGTAAAATGAAATATTAAAATTACTGAATGATGTAAATCAGTGTGTGGAGAAATAAATATTTAAAAAAAAAATTATTAACACTATGTTTAAATGTGTTTTAATCTCATAACTTTACAAACAAAACGATCTATTTATAAGCTCTGAAGACAGATCATGCTAATTTCTCTATCTACAAGCTTAAATAACATTCCAAAATAATGATTAATCACCAAACATAAAAAACTATTAGTACAGGCATTAACATAAGCTTGTCGAGGCATATCAAGCACTGAATCAGCAGATCAAAACACTTGAAAATATTACTTAATAAAATTAGGACAGTAGTTACAAATAAATAGAATAGAAATGAAGTTTACAGCAAAACTCTTATAAAAACATATGGTTGCTTATAAATCAAGTTAACATATTCAATATAATGTTTTCAGTGTGGCCAAAGCACTTGGAAAACAGAAGACATACATATGTACAAAGCAGATTATAAGAAGCATTTTAAAGGAATAATTTAGAGGACTCACATTCACAAATATATTCCAAAGGGTAGTGTTCATCATAAAATATTTAGTTACCATACAATAAGAAAAAGACCAAGTTGATTTGTTTTCATCAACTTAGTCGTCAGTCAGTGGCGGTTTCTTAGAGGAAGTAAGAGAGGAAAGCCCTTTTCACACTATTTCTTCTTTTGAATGTAATTTCTAAATAAAATATTTGCTTTGATGTTTGAGGGAAATATAATTTTTGCAGTAGAAGGAGGAAATAGACTCTGATAAGAGTCATCTGTGCATGCTTTGGAGCGACGCGAGAACGATCGAAATCGCTCGGAGGAAGAAAACTCTTTTCTCCACTCATGTGCGATTATTTCACATCTCACAGCGTTCCTGCGGTCAGAAAATAAATCTTTATAATGCAGTCCTATGACCCAGGAGGAGGCCCCTCTCTCGAACTGCTGTCTCGTGACGTCTCAACTAGATCAAAGCATTAACCGAGCGGCTTCCCCCGCGCGTGAGATATGCCACACTACGGTACGCTCCAGCATTGGTCAAAATGCTGGTGGATGGTGTAATCTTACACCGTGAGCTGGTGGAAGCCGTATGAAGACGCAAACAGAACCAATAGGACTTATCTCATCGCAAACTGACTCATGTGTCTTACTATTTGTAATTTTCATTTAACCTAGCGTAGTACATGCAATATACTTCTTTCCTCCTAAGAAACCTGCACGAGTAGCGATTGTCTTCAATATGTCACATTTTACCAAAAGTGAAGGCTAGATACAACTCCAGTTTCTAAGGCGAGACTCTCGGAATTCATCGAGATCGTTCGGGGCGTATGGAGGGCACTAAACGCATGAAGGGATTGGGGCAACAACAATAACCCGTATTCGACACATTCCAAAATAAAGAACTTAATTTTTCCCCAAACAAATATTACGATCTAAACAATATACTAATGTGTTTATAGAACTGTAATATGTGTATAGAAAACCAAGTATGTTAGTGTGGAACTGTGAAATGTATTTACACGAATTGGTTTTTCTCTGACAATTTCAGAATTAGTGATTATTACTACGTCGCCCTTACCCTTCATATTCAATTGTGCCGTAGACAAACTGGGTAGAATTATATACGGTCTCGCCACCAGCACACACATAAACTAGCTAAACTTATCCGAATGACAAAGTTGTTGTACCTTCTTGCCTTATGTTAAAATACAATACAAGGCACTGAAACTAGTAACAATCGAGGTAGGAAACGGAACAGTGCTGCTTGCCATAAGATGGATTCTGTACCTTTCATAAGTGAACTTCTGATGAATTTCTCTCATTTTGATCAGCAATATCTTGTAGACAGTTCGGAGATTGATTCTACGAAAGTACTATTTCCAAAGTTGCTTGCATTCACTGGCGGATCCAGGCATGGAGACCATGCCCCTCCCCCCTCTCCAAAAAAATACTTTTTCGTTTATCTTCCTTGATTTCGCAAAGTTGAATTAAATATTTATGTTTAAAATACGTAATTATTTAAACAATAATATTATACACTACAATGTGTAATACATAAATAATATACAATTTAATAACAAATGTGTGTATTACTTAATAATCATCTACGACCGTGCGAAGTGACTTACTGCGTAGCGCGCTGAATTCGCATCGGTCGCGGGGACCTAATATATCTACCTGCCAGTTCAAGAGATATTCATAATATTCATTTCCCACATATTTGAGCTGATTAAGGGGAGCAAAACATTTTTTTGCACATCATATCATTTTGCACTGAATGTTTAATAACTAATAAATAATATCGTATCATTGAAAATGGTTTAAAAAAAATACGAAATTGTAATAAAACTACTGGGTATACTTGAGAAGACTGGCAGAGCTTGCTCCTCAAGCCCACTGCCAGTGCTGCCCGAGTGCCCACATCGCAAAGATAACGCAATAGCATAATTCAAGGACAAGGGACGCGCTTTTCTTGTAGCCTCTGTGCACACGATTAAAGACGATAACATCCCTTTATTAATGACTGCATCAGTGTCAAGAATATGAACATAGTAATGCAAATGGGGATCTTAAATAGGTTTGGAACTTACCTTAAGAATAAACATTAAATTTAATACTTTTTCGCATTATTTCCCACTTATGCAATTTTGAAAAATTCAGAGATTTCAACGAAATAATATTTGCGCAGTTTTTAAGCGTCCTTCCATCTATCCGTACAAAGAAAGAAAAATAATGAAAAAGAAAGAAAAATAATGAAAAAAAAGAAAAATAATGAAAAAGAAAGAAAAATAATGAAAAAGAAAGAAAAATAATGAAAAAGAAAGGGGAAAATGGAGCGGTATTTGTGAATTTTTTTTACACTTTGCGTAAACTTCAAGCAGAAATTACGGAAAAACTATTGTTTTTTCAAAAAATTGCTCGAGACCTTTGTGAAGGATTTGATGTTTTAAAAAGATTTTATAATTTACAAACTCCATCATCAATATTGTACTTTTGCGATGCTAATTTTTCGCAATTTTCGAAAATACAGAATTCACCGAAAATGGAACCATTTTTCTACTATTCTTTGCTACATACGAGAAAAAAATTAAAGAAAAAATTTAGATATATATAAAAATATTCAAAATGCGCCTTCGGTCGATTGAGCAGTTGCTGCAATGTCAGAATACTACAAGCCAAAAGGAGAAAATCTCTCAGGTCGTGACGAGCGCTGTATCCTAACAACCACGAGACGAATTGACGCCGCTCACGGGTCGAGACGCTCGCCACTCGCTGTCTAAAAAAACAGGCTGTCACAAGATCGGAAGTTGAATACCTAACACCCACTTGCAGCAGCTGGAAACAACACTCATTATTTTGCAGGCACGTATCTGCTCAACACAAGGAGTTCCCTCCGACGCATCGGAGCCCATTGCGCCCGCTCTGTCGGACTAGAATAAACTAGATACCGTCTAACGTCTACGTAAAAATAACATACTCCTTTCGCTTTGTCCTATATTGATGAAAAATACATAAATTACTAACACCTGGCAATACCTTTACAACAAAAAGACTACTGATAATATTCTTCACATATTGAAAATTCTTGTGTTCCCCTGGAACCAACCCAATGCACGAATGTTTTCTTACATGGATCGTTTGTAGAAAAGTGACATGAATGCTCTTGCTGTAAAGTATTTGAAAGCTATGCTGAAGGTGAAGCACAATTACGTCATTTTTTTTACTGAAGTGATAAGGACTTACTACTAAAGAAATGCATTCCTTAGAAATCGTAAGTTACCTAGCAAGTGTGCGAATCACGTGGCGCACGTGTTGCGTACACCATTTTAGAACACTCCTGTATGTGAAACGTGGTAAGCCTACTCTTTGCGATGTCACACGCACGCTTTGGTATGTTTCGCGCACTATTTTTTAATTCACTTGTAGAATGCAAAAGTAGCCGTTTCGCACTCGTAAACAAGCACGCGATGATGAATTTTCTTGCTTTCCGGCATTCGCGGTGGTTGTATTTTAGGGAAGAGGAAAGATGGGAGATTGTTGGACAGGTGATGCACGTCACAACACATACGAGTAGGAAAACCACGCGATATTCGAACTCGCAACCCTTCTGGCTGGGACCATCAGGGCCGGCAGAAATAATACGTATAATAAATGTTAGTTCTGTTGTAGTATCACGAAATTCTTTAATTTATGTTCGAATAGAGGTGGGAAAAATTATAAAGTACATTCCTAGTTTCATTAAAATCTATGAAATTTCGGAAATTGCAGAAGTTACACAAGAAGTTTTCCCAACAAGTCGTACAGTTTCATGATTGAAGCTAGATTTATTTCTTAATAAAAGGTTCTTTACAACACTAGATCTTTGAATCATTTCAAATTGGTCCTACTTTCTTTTTTTCAACTGAATAAAAGTTTTCGCGCAAGTATGAAGTAAGGAGTGACAATTTCCCACCAATATCTAAACAAGATTTTCTCAAAAACGGCAGCAATTTCTCTTCAAACTTTTTGTAGGGATGAGAGTACAGTACACCGACTTTTATGGTACAAGTGCTATTTTCATTAAATTTTTTTAATTTTCAAAAATTGTTTAATTTAATTTTTTTCTAATCTCTGGCGCTTTGTTCAAAAACTCGTATTGTGGGGCTCTCGCATCGAAAAAGTGAATAAATCTTGCCCCAATAGTGCTAAATTACTTACAAGTTGTGTAGTAATAATCCACGTTGTAATCGTATGTCTGTGCAGAAAACTAGCGACTAAACAGTTCAGACTGTTTTCTCCAAAGTTGATTCCACATCCATTTGGGGCAAACGCAAGGTCTGCGAGATGTTCGAGAAGTATATTGTGATGGGAAGGGGAGGGGGGGCTCAACAACATTCACATTGTTTTTTTTTATTTGAATTTTTGCCCGGATAGGGAAATGGACGCCTAAAATATGCCGATGGTCTCATTTTCGTTGAACTCTTCAAATTTTCGAAATTTCAGAAGTTCAACATTTTCCGGCTTCTTCCTATAACTACAGCAATAAAGATAAGGATTTTTTTTAAATGAAATCTATTCTGCAACAATAGATCTTGAAATTAGGACATGTACAATTTTTCGAAAATATGAGTTTTAGGCCTGAAATAAAGGCAATTTTTAAACATTTTTTCTGTAAAAGCAGGTTCATTTCCCCCCTCAAGTAGTAGACAGGACGTTAAAAAATGTGCTGGCTCATTTTCGTTTAACAATGAATTTTTGAAACCTGCAAAAGTAACAAATAATGAGAAAAAAAATGTGTGCAGTCCATTTTAATATAGAAGTTATGCTCTTCTCTTATGACCTCATTGTGATTTAACTATTAGGGGTTCTAAAAAATAAAATAAAATTTTAAGGCTGCGAAACAATGTGCAAGTGAATCAAACAGTTAATAAAGTAGCAGTAAACTCTACTATATGTGAACGTAGTAGTAGGCCTACTTCTAATGCATATATTTTACTACATAAACCTTCACAAACCCATCATTGAGGAAAAGCACACACACACTTTTAAGAATAAATACATTCTTACTTAAAAATAACATACCATGCGGCATTACAGTGTAAAAGACTACATTCAACTTAACAGAAAAAACTTTTGGGGAGAGCAATATTACTTAACTACTCAATGATTGTCTAGCATTCGATTTAAAACAGTTATATAGTAAGGTACCTGAATATACATTTTTGTACAATTAACATTCATGCAATTCTGAATTTTAATTTAATGACTAGCACACTCAGACAAATGTAAATACAGTTTCGTGCAAACTGAGCAATTTTTTCCCTATACATTCCAAACAGGCACTAGTACATGAATCTGATTTTGGTTCACTGACATAAAAGGGCAACAAATACCATGAATTAAATATTGTCCTGTACTCTTTTATTTCGTTCATTTATATATGCCAATATAAAGAGAAAGAAATGATCCAGAACTAACTATCAGTGCACATTTTTTCAACATTCATGCAATCATGCCATTGTGTCACGAAAGCATGCATAAGAGCCTTAACTTTCTCTTACGTTATACAGCATGGTCCAAGTTGGAGATGAAATTTTTTTCTAATACCAAAGTGAATATATATTCATTTTAATTTGCACAATAATTCTTCTACAAGCCCATTTTCCTTGCTTTTTACATAGCATCAGGCCAATGCTTTCCAGTGGTAGCAGAAAATAATCACTTTCTGTGAACACTGCAATCTTATTATGCTAACTCAATAATCATATTCTTTTAAAAGAAGCTACGAGTTCATGTAGCTTTTAATTTGTAGGAAGAAACATACACACAAAACTGTAGAATAGGACTGATGCTCACTCATCACATTAAATGTATAATACTTGAACGAACCTTATTTCCATCAAGACTATTTCATTTGATTGATATATGCTATTTATTTCACACTACTTAGTAAAATATTTTAAGCCCATGATATATTTTGTCCTCCCCATTTAGTAAGAAATGTTATGAACAATGTGCAATGTATGTATAAATGTCGAAGTGAATAGAGCTCACTTAGCAGCTATACAGAGAGAGAGAGAGAGAGAGTAATCAATTTGCATAATCTTTATTACAGTGCTAATTATTGCGGAATACAAGTAGTAAGAGTAACCTTTCTGTAGTCCAATAATAAAAATCACATGTTATAATGGATTCTTTTTGTATTAATAACTAAAACACATGAAAAGACGAAAAAGGTAATAATGAAAGAGTTCAAAATATTGTCATGGGATAAATTTAATTCTCTCACCTGTTCATCTGCTGCATCAATTTTTTGACCCATGTCTTTTGAAGTTATGAGAGGTGACACTGCAGCACTATACGAAACAGATGAAAATAGATTGGGTCGACTGTACGTAGTGACAGGACTCACTTTACCACGAGATGCCAGAAATCTTTGCATTACACCTTTGTGCCCAACACGGGGTGGAAGCTTCTTTGATGATGTCAGTGTGTTACTATTTGTATAATTTGGTGTACTCTCAAAAAGTGGACGAAATGTAGTTGCTTTCTGGCCATTTTGAGGAGTAATTGATACCACTGGCTGATTTTCAGGCTCAGTGGCAACCGAAGATGTTGATACAGCACGCCGTAATTTTCGTTCTGTTTCCTCAATAGCATATCCAGCCAGGTCAGTAAATCGTGTTACCTACAAATCAAAAGAACTTAATTAGTAGAAGAGAAAATACAAGAATAAGAGGCAACAGCATTTAAATTTGCAGAAGAGGAAGATTCAGAGTAACTCAAGGAAGTAACCATTTTGGAAAAGTCAAATTTGAAGTGTACAATGCTTAATAGAACCTTATTTCCATTCAGACTAATTTAATTGATATGTGTCACACTACCAAGGAACATTAATGAATTCCATTCAAAGTTACTTAATAAATATATATACTATGTACATATTTGTATGTATATTCATATATTTATTTCAGGAAATATGAAACAATCATCTGAGATAGTGGACATCCCCTCACGAGATAGTGGACAACCCAGTTTATAGCTAATATAAATCTTCAAATAAGCATACAGTGTTTTTTTTTTGGCTTCTATGGACTTATAGCTATTCAAATTTGCTCCTCTTTTGTATGCTTGCTGTCTCATGATTGACATCTCGTCAGTTATTAATGTTTGAGGCTGTTGATCAGCATCATCTTCTCTGTCTTATCGTTTCCAATCCTACATGGAAACCTTCTTTCTTAAACTTCTATCTCCATGTATCTCTTCATTAATTCTATTGCTGGGATATCAATTTGTTTAACATCTTTTCAACTTTCTTAACATCATTTCAAGAGAATTTGATTAAATACAATTTCTTACCTTCATTGTGAAACCTTACTGACGAACAGACATTTTTAATCAATAATGTTATGGGATCTATTCAGCTCTTTTAAGACCAGCTATTAAGTTAAGGGAATAACTTGCCACTGCTTTGTCTCTAACAGGGAGGTCCTAGGGTTCCAGTCGTAATGGTCGCGGATGTTCAACATTTACTAGCTAGGTCTGAATCAGCTGCTGCCTGAAGAAAAATTCTACCCGATTGCTGCTCAGGATGACTTTGTAGTTTTCTGTGGTTCTCCCACATATACTAGGTGAATGCCATGGCAATACCTTAACAAACACCAAATGAATTCCTTATCCTTCTCCACTCATTTTCCCTTACACCCACCAAACCTATCAGGAGACCAGTGAAGAGCTTAACGTTTGTTCCATTTGGGGTAAACTGGGATGATGCCATGCAGGTGAAGAGAACTGGAGAGAAACCCTGCACGCTGATGTGTAGGTCAGTGGGGGATCTCGCATTCTAGTAGGAGAGGAACACTGCCACCTCCCGAGATATAACAGGCACAACACTTACGAGACTAATGATTATAGTAGTTGGTGCACCCGAAATAATGTGTCAATCAATGAGCCTTTCATTAGATCTCATATGTTTTCATCAATTATTCCATTGCTTCTTGAAATCTTTTGTAATATCCCCATTGTTTTTTTTTGACTAATTATCATTTTGTTGCTGTCTGTTCCAAGAGTTAATAGTTCAGAAGCATCCAATGCTTCTGTTTTCACAATACTATTGTAATGCTGAATTTAGATCCTGTATTTAGCAGTCTTCTCGTAGTTATCATTTTTCACGAGTTGGTATTCCTGCCCTAAAATTCAGATTCTAACATTGACTAAAATTCATTCACAATGCACAATTTTAACAATTAAATTGACTTTAATATTAACAATGACATGAACATTTATATTACCCAATATAACATTGTGATTTTCTTCAACAGAGTGGGTTCCAACTTTGATCCCATTTCCTAAACTTGTAAATATTTTTAAAAAAAAGCTCTTGGGTTACTTTTTAATTAGCATTCAACAACAAAAGATAATAACAATGATTTTAATAAAATAATATCAACCACAACAATAATAACATCAACCACAACAATTGTAACAATAACAATAATAATAACAACAATCACAACAACAGCTGTTTACATCCTACATTGATACCCTGGATTCCTAGGTCCTCAGGTAGGACTTTAATCCAGATGTTGATACTATCTACAGGCTATTGTATAATGGGGTGAAGTAATAAAAATGTCTGAAAGAGGAATAGATAATTTAAAAATGAGAACTGAAAATAAAAAATAAATTGTTTAATAACTTAATAAAATCATAGGAACTTAACTTCTGGAAACTGACACAGATAATTGAAGAATTAATTTACCTTCGAATCCACTGTGTCCTCTGAGATGGTTTGTATGAGGCCAGCTGCATGCAATTCTTTCTCTCTCTCAGTAGCTTCATTTATTTCCTGTTGTATTCGGCTCGTAGCTATTCGATGTTGAACACTCCGGCAGTCATTTAAAGCAGTATTTCTACGATTGGTGAATTTCTGCACCTGCCACACAATTAAATTGTTCATAAAGGCTTGTATTCTTAAAGTTGAACTATTAATAACAGAGATTAAAGGGGTTGAGGGTGAAATTTCATTTTCCCTAAAACAACATTGAGGGCAAAAAGAACTTACAGGATAAATGGCTATAGCAATTGACGCGCCCGGAAACATGAAACAATCAATCGATAGTAGTGTAACAGCTACTGTAGAAGAAATTCAGTTGACGGTTTCATGTGCGGAGAATTCTGTATCATAAGAATGTTTTCCACCCAAATACTATACATTTTATTGAAATACATTCACCCACTCAGAAGCCTTTTCTAATGATTGAATTTAATGTCGTCAGACACACACTCATTTGTGTATTGCAAATTGTATCTTCGATATATTAAATATGGATATTTTTAGTCAATGTAGTATGTATGTAATTATTTAGTCAGAATACAATAGTGGCAGGAGAAACAAACTGCTTACATTAACGAAAAGACAAGGAAAGAACCATTTCATATTGAACAAACACAGGTGTAAGAATGTTACGTATTAGTTTAGATTTCAAATAAAACTATTTTGTGGAATGAAATGACAAGATCAGCAGTGAACTGTTCAGTTGCCAGGACATTTGGGCCTATATTAACAAAATTTAAAAAAAATAAAACTGTCTCTCAGTTAATTATTTTTAGCGATTTCTTTCTAAACAATAATACATTGGGATCATTAATTCGAATTCTTCAGATGGAAGAAAATGTGAAAATATTTCTTTACAAAAATAAAAATCTGAAAAAGAACACATACAAGTAGTACATATCTCAGTTGTACAGAATATTCGCGTGTACCATATGATTGAAAAGTCTCGCATATCTCATTTCTACTTGCTCATACAGAAATACGCCACGGCTGAGAGCCTTCAATTCAACTACCGAGAAAAGTTAAATTTCTTTGACGCGTAGCATGGCGAAACGACTATGATTTCTCGTGAAACAAGTAGAGCAGCAAGTGCAGGTTCGCGCATACTGCCTGGGTGAAACATTTTAGACGAGGAATTTCAACTTTTGCTCATGTGACGGGAAAGACGCTTTCTTCAATTCACATTCTGATTTAATTGAATTCAGCTTTAAATCACTTTCAGCTAAAAAATCCTGAGCCGTTTTATTTCAAAACTCCATTTTTCGAGTCGGGCTAGCATTGCGTCCCATGAACGATATCCATTCAAAATTTACAGATATTGGTTTAAGTTTTCCTTACTGGGTGCTCCGTATCTGTGGACAATAATATTAGACAAAACAACCATGTTAGTTTTATAATTAAGACCTGCGAATTTAATTAATCCAGACGTTTTTCAAGGCAGACTATATCAAAAAGCAAAAATATCAAGAATAGATTGTAGTTCGCGAACATTCTTCAAACTTTTAGAACAGTTATATTCACTTGAGAATGCGAAGTGTTGAGAAGAATTAAGTGCAGATAGATGAAGTTTTATGTCGGACAATAAAATCGAGTCGACTTTTCTTATTGTGTATGATCGTATACGTAACGAGATTACATTTTGTAGCTTCAGAAACGGAGATAATTAATCGTCAAAGATGATTTATGATATCCTCCTAATCTACGCTGCCCTGCTTCACATTTCAAACACTCGAATACGGTTCGAAATGCAGTCGAATTCAACGACTTCAAATCATAGTAGCAAGAAATACTTAAAAACTGGAAACAGTGGCGAAACCAAGAACGGACAACCCACTAACATTGCCAATGAATGCATCCTCAAAGTTGTTTACAATTTCAATCTAATGATAATTAAATTAATTACATATAACTAGTAAAATATGCGTCGCCGGCGCTGTAAACCGTTTTAAAAATAGTTTCATGTATTGCAAATTTCGTTCATGCCCAGCTTTGTCGATATATGTTCTTTCAGTATCTCTAATTGGACTTACCAATGAATCGTAGTAGCTGATAATGTTATGGTCACGTTCAAAAGTTCACAACACCCAATGTCATCGTATGTTACCTCGATTCGGGATATGAACTGGTCTTACGTATTGCAATTTCAAAATTATAATCGCCGTAACAAATACTTGCAGATTTTGATGCCAATAGTAAAATTTTAGAACAGCTACGTTTTTACGCTTTTTAGCTAATGTGAACTAAGATGCTCATAGCACATTTGCATTAGCACAAATGCTAAATGTAAAAATGCAGAACGTTCCCAATTAGTTCCGGAAATTCTGTCGCAACATCTTTTACAACTACATTTGATTCTTACCCGGATTTCCTCCACACTTCCATATGTTTCTCCCCTAATATTTGAAGAGATTAAAACTTCACAAACTCGGTCTACTTTGTGTTCACTTCTACTTCTGCAATTGCTCTATGAATTGTTTTGCATGCGAATCTAGCGTTGCACGTGAATTTAACATTAAAAGGCGACTGTGTATGTTTATGCTGGTTAAGTTTAATAAGAATAAGTTGTGGGTCACATTTATTTGAAAATAGGTATTTGCGTACTTACGTAAGAACGGAAAAGTGCGAAGTAAAACAGAAACAGTTGTAGGAAGACGCCGAAAAAATATTTATCTTTTGTAGTTTTCGGAAAATAAGGGATTTTGACGAAGATTAACTCACGTCAATATTTAGAGTTCTTTACCGCTATCAGAGGACAAAGTTATATAAAAAAATTGACCATATTTTAAAATTAAAAATGATGAGGCTTTATGTAAAGTAAACCCCCAAATCAAAATATTTGTTTCAAAATCTCCGGGCCACGAGTTCCTTCACATCGTTCCTCCATTGGCAGATCAGTAACTTCCTCAAATTACCAAAACACACGCTCAAAGTGGTACGAACGCTCACCAACAACTGTTACGGCTATTGGGTTGTGTACACTGATGTACAGCCAACAAAATACATACTGATTGTATAATAACAGCAACGAAACTGAATATATTTTACCGAGGATTTGAAGAAAAACATCGCGTTTATTTCTTAATGTTTCTATACCATGTGATCAGAACTTCGGAAGAAGGCAGAGAAACTTCTTAAATATAAGCGTTTGGAAATGGGTAGCAGTCGGATGCGGGGCGTAAAAACACAGTAAAGCGTGGCGTGGCTGGGCGTGGCGTGGCGAGGC